AGACTGCTGGAGGTGGCGGAGGCCGGTGCGGTGAGGGTGTTGTCGACGGTGAGGGGAGGAGGAGAAGGCGGAGGTGAAGGGGTGGTGATGATGATGGCGTTGAGAGAGAACGAAAGAGAGAGGATATTTCTTCTGGCGGCTAAAGAACGAAAGAAGAGAACATGGAGGAGAGAGAGAGTTAGAGAAAGACGTGGCGGCGAATTCATGTGAAAATGAAAAAGAAAAAAAGAAAAGACTATTTATATATAGGATAAGTTAGGGTTAGGGTTTAAAACAAAATTAATTAAAATAAATATTTCGGGTACTTGAAAATTAAACTAATTACATAATAATTATCTATAAGTAAAAACGTACATGTTGAGCTAATATAACTGTTGATACGAAATAATCGAAATATACTCATATTGTATAATTAAACAAGAATAATAAATAATAAAAATATTTCTACTTAAATTTAAAATCAAATAATTATGGGATAATTATGTACACAGTAAAATATACTAGTTATACTAATACGACAGATAATATGTAACAATAGAAATAATAAAATAAATTATACCAAAAACACATAATTAATAATACCATGTATTATATGAAATAATTTGTAATAATATTAATAATACAATATATTATTTAAAATATTATGTAATAGTACTGATAACACAACAAATTAATTCTAGAAATTTTTTATCGCACAAAATAAATTTATAAATATCAAAATCATTTAAATAAATATATAATCAGATTTTTAAATCATAGAAAATTATAGAAAATCAAGAAAAATAAAAATACACTTTTAAAAATAATAATTAAATATTGTAAATTACTAGAAAATTATTTTAAATAGTATCAAAATTCATGGTCCTTACATTCTACACCCCTTAAAACAAATTCTGTTCTCGGAATTAAAATAGGAAAGAACCCAAGGATAAAGATATGGAATGAGAGCGTTTACTCGCAAATTGACGAGACAAGAATCAAGAAACAAGAAACAGGTGGAAGTTACGAAACAAGAAATAGTGGAAAGTTACGGAGTCAAAAGTGATAAGATAGGGACGAAACGAAATCTATCAAGAAAAGAGAATAAGGGCTCAAGATAGTCTCACAAATGAAATATGATATGTATCTAAACTGTCCATTATATTCTTACTATTGAGGATTCGGGACCGTGATCGGGACCGTGACCTGCATGGGCCATCACTAAAAACTGTCACGCCCCGCTTCCCAAAATACCCGGGAACCGGAACGTGAACAAGCCCGCGACGTATTTGATCAAGGAGAATAAATAAAAATAAATGTTTCTCCTCAACCTAATACGCTAAGCATCTGGAAATAAGTATAATGCGAAGTCACAGGTCCCCGATCATAATCAGCAAGAATATAATGAACAACACAGAATAAAATAATACATATCACATTGAATATTCATCGCAGACATAATATATATTCGGGTCAACATGCCCTTATACAAAACTGAAGCAATGAATACTGAAGAGATACAAAATATATCGATCAATAGAAAAAGAAAGAACTATAAAAGTAAACTAGAACTATCAAAGATTAGGCTTCGACTCCTTCTTCTACTCCGTCTACAAGACACTCCTGCTGAGAATACTCGGCTCTGGCGCATCTCCAAGCTGAACATGTTCTTCCTCTAAGTCTGACGTACATCAGAGAAAACAGGTGTACGTCAGTGTGTACGGCACACGGCAAGACCCGACCCCATAAGAAAATAGAATGAACAGAAATCCAATGCGAAAAACAATACGATAACAGAAACAACAAAAGAACGTACAACTAAAATCCACAAATCAACATGAAAACACTACTAAATCATGATCACATAAAGTATCCAAAATCGATCAGGTAACGAGTCATGCAGCTAGCGATCAGACTAATCATCCAAATCACAAGGGCATACACTAGATGAAATTAATACTTAAAAATCTACAACAAGAGACGTAGTACGTTGAGCGAAATAATTCAAACAAGGAAACCCTCATGTATATACCATATGTCTCAAATTATAGATAATTAAATAATAATCCTGATCTATGTATGAAAAGAAATACAACTAATCTACGTCTCACAAGAATCATACTTAGTCAAGAATCTAAGTCATGTAACTAGTCATCCTACAACAGGTCACTGGCTCATATTATCGGATAATTGATAGATCGTAATCACAAATATCCCAACTCCTTAGACCCACCCCAACGCTACACAGGAATATCATTGGTGCGAGCCTGGAAATAATCAACAATAACATATCACAACACCTCAGACCCACCCCAACACTACACAGGAATATCGTTGGTGCGAGCCTATAAATAATCAGCAATCACATATCACAACACCTCAGACCCACCCCAACGCTACACAGGAATATCGTTGGTGTGAGCCTGGAAATAATCAACAATCACATATCACAACTCCTCGGACCCACCCTGGTGACTACAAAACTTCACCGACGTGAGCCCGGAATGCATAAACATCTAAACTCATCAGACCCACCCCAGTGACTACACAAA